GCGTTATATGGAATACCAAACGAACTAGTGGAGGTTAGCAGGCGTCAAGCGGTTGTTATGTTCCATGATTGAATATTTATCGACAGCCCATTGAAAGTGACTTACTCTGAGCGGATAGAGCTATCCGAGACAAACTCTATTTGTTTTCGCATTTGCGCCAGGAGGTCTCGTAGATCATTCATACTCAACCGGCTCTTGAGTGATACCCTGTAGCTCATTGGTACTCATAATACATAGAATGTGGTTGAAAAGGGACTGACCCTTGCAAAATTTCCTCTGCAGCAGTTCTAACTCGTGAGGCAACATCCCTCCACCCGATATGGAGGAGCCACCAGGAGAGCGTAAGGTACTTTCTTTCGATATCATCGTCAAGCAAGTCTTCTGGTTCATGAGTTTCTTCCTCTTGTAGCACTGAATAGCTTGATCCAAGAGCAGAGGAGAGTGCAGGGGCGACGCTGTGTACGAATGATCCCACTAGTCCCAATGAGTCAAATAAATCGGTTCCAAATTCTGATTGTTGCTCTTTTTCCCGTTGTCGCTCCTGTTTCTCTAACTCTCGGACGGATTGGACGTATTTGTAGCGACCAATGAGATTGAGTTGTACATGGATTTGGAGGGAAAGGAGTGTTGTGCTGTATAAGACGACAAGGACGCGAGTAAACGCTAGATTGATTCAGATTCAGATGAAATTTATCGGGGAAAGTCGTCATAGTCAAAAATTAATTGCTTACACATTATTTTGAGTTCATGCCAAAGCTCTGCCTTAGTTTTTGATGCGAGTGAGCCCATACCGTCACGAGTGTCCATTGTATCTCCAATGTGGGACATGGCACTACCACCATGATTCGGTTGGACGCGATCCGATGCCTGTGTTTCGGCTGCTGATTGCGTGTCGACGATAGAGACGGAAGATAAGTCTAAGCTAGGAAGTTCCAGATCAGGGATGATTGGTAAATTATCTTCCAGTGCTCCACCGGTCTTGGGTTCCGCTGAAGAGTTCAAGTCTGTTGAATTTCCTCCATGATTCTCCGTGGGTCGGTTCTGGAACTGGACCCAGCTGATCTCGGAATCTGCCAATGGATTTGATGATAGAGGCAAGGAGGACGATAAAGGATCAGAAGACTCCATATTAGAGAGATATGACGATGTATTTTGATCCTCTGAGGCGGCCTGTCCAATAGACGGTGATGCAAAGCTGGGTGCTCCTGGCTGCGAGTTGCTGGCATCTCGCTCCGATAAATTGGAAAATGAACTGATGGGTGAACTGGCTTCCAACTCAACGGCAGATCCAAGAGATGCAGAAAGGTGAGTGTGATTACTGGGAGCACTTGCTTCCTCTGATGTAGTCGTTGGCACATCAGATTCAGATGAGACCCAGTCAAGTCGTGGCGGAGGTGCTGCTTCCGCACTGGATTCCCCCGGTTGGCTATTTAGGACAGCTTGCTTTTTTGAACGATTTTGTAACTCTAGTGATATTCTTTCGACATCGAGCTCCTCCAGGATACGACTCGCCAGGGTAGGCATATACGCCATGATAGTAAATGTGCAATCCTGCATATTCTGTTGAAAGCGCTTTCTGAGACTATTCAAAGAATTATTAAAAGTCAGTGAGACTTCATTTTTCCCAACGAAACAAGGAATGATGGTGAATATCGCGAGGATTTGAAT